AAAAAAAAAACGAGTTAATGCCACTACCGACTTTAAAATTGTTTTAGGATAGATACTTGTGATATCTCCCTTAGCCATATATATAAGTTATCATTATTTATTTTAGTTAATAAGTTCAAATATTTCTGATTTGAACCAGTAATGAGTACACCAATAGAGCTATCATAGAATCGTATTAAAATTTAGATCTCAGGCTCTGAGGTAGGAACTTTTATATAGGTTCACACGACACCAATAGTTTGAAACCCAAACAAAAATTTGGGTAGATATTTAAGGGTAACAAATATTTGAAATAGAATTCCTTAAGTTGAAAAATAAAACAATATTTTTTCAATAAAACTATTCTTCATTAAAGAGTCATCGAATTGATTTCCATACTACAGAATCTTCAATTATAAACTAAAAAGTCTTTATAGAATATAGAAAAGATTAAGATATATCCGGTAATATATAATATTTGGAATAAATTAAAGCAATCCTAATTGCTTCAAATGTAAATCATCCTCTTTCTATAGATTGCCACTTTTGGACAATCGATCTATTATATATATATTGTCTTCAAATAGACGAACACTTAATTAAATAATATTTTTAATCATATATAAAAAATTTTTGTAGTGTACTCAATCGGTTTAAGTCATTATACATTTGTTTTTAATTTTTCGTACCAATGACCCAATGCTTAAAATTTATATTCATACTGGTCACTACATCACATTCTGAGAAGACAGGTAGAATTATCTACACCTAAATTGTGTGCCTGTAACACTAATACCAAAATGTTTTTATTCCAAAGTTAATGGAATGTCGTATTCGCTACTTTGTATTCATTGTATCGTATTTTAAAGTATTTCATTTATCAATTCACTGTAGATTTAATCTTATAGCTTGGAAATATTGAAAGTAATGCGATAGTCAGCGTACCCCAAACTTTTTGTTAGAAAAAATATGTAGAGAATATCATAAATAATATACTTCCTGTGAGAATATTATTTGTTTTTATAGATTTATATGAAATGAAATTAAGTAAATCAGTTTTTTAAATGAAATTAAGCAAGTTTTCCCTGAAGATGACTATCGAAGATAGTCGAAATATCGGAAAAATATTTTAATAAAATATAACTTGTTTTTAAATATAAATAATAAATGATAGTTTTTTTATTTCTATTCAAATGACCAATTAGCCCGTTAATAAATTATTGTTTAAATTAAGCAATAAATAATTTTAGTAAAAAACCTCTCATCATCTGTGGGTAAGGTGTTCTAGTGTTATTTTTAGGACTTTCGGACATAGTTTGAGAATTCGGCAGTAAAAGTTTAAATGTAAGCAATGTTTATGTCGGTGAGGGAATAAAAGTTGAAAGATCCACATTTGATTTAATAAATTCACCTGAAGTTATGTTTAAAATCTGTGAAATATCTTGGTATGCACCTTGATCGAAGGCTTACCTGGAACACCCACATAAAAGCTAAACAAAAATAGCTTAATATTAAATAAAAGTTTATTCAATGGCTATTAGGTCAAAAGTTTCAATTCACTTTGGAAAATAAGGTAGGTCATATTAAAGCATATTGAATATTAAAAAGTTATCAATTCAAAATTCTGCGAACCATCGTTAATGCTCGGTTTTATGTTACTCAATAGGTAGAATGGACAGATTGTAAATATATAAATAATAAACACAAAAAAAAGTTATATTATAGAGCTATAAGTTATAGAGTAAATGTATTATTAAGTAATTTGTTTTTAAGAAACCGCAACATGTAAAGCTCCGGCTATAAAGGGCCACGATCACAATTTCCGAAGTGCCAAGGTGTAATGACAGATTTAAGTAAAATAGATAACTTTTTCGACTGCTACCCGTTATAAAGTGTATACCTCGATTATCATTTCCGGAGTGCTGGAATTTAATAGCAGATTTCAATAATATTGGCTAATATGAGCAACTTTTTCGACAGTTCCGGTTATGAAGTGTATACCTTTTTTGAACGATTGCCATTTCTAAAGTAGCGAGAATTAATGGCAGATTTTGGTGAAATCGGCCAATATGAATAACTTTTTTATAATTTTACTTTTGCAAGCCATATGGCACTATAAGTCGATATGACTGGATTCTTGAGATATTGATGGTTAAAGTAGAAAATTTTTACTGAACAATCTTCAACGAAGTAGATAACTAACATTTTATAAATAATAAAATGTATATCCTAGAATATATAGTTCCAGCTAGATTTTGTGACTACTTTTTATTTGGCTGATCAATATAGAAATGTACAACTTTAAACCCTGATATCTTGAGAAATAAGCACGTATGTATCTACTGTTGAACCCACTAAAAAAAAAGTAGTTGTATCCAAGCATGTTAAATATAGAAGTTTGAGCACCGCTGGCTCGAACCGCTGGTATAACATTTTTAGTATTGTATGCTTTTAATGCCTCTCTATCTTTTTCTCAGTTTTTGCATTTGTAATATAAGTTTCCAGTTTATTATAAAATTTGGACACGTTGGCGGTATTTGACTTTATGCTTGGCTTTTCAATCTTGCATAGTTCATTTCAAATTTATCGCTGGTACGATGTGGTTGGATTTTAGTTTAGTTCCTCAGCAATTAATTTCAGCATTTTAAGTATTATTAAATTTATTAGAATACGTTTTACATGGTATATATTAAAGAATTTACTTTAAATTTAAATAAACTAATATTCTGCGCATTTGAGGTTACAAATTATTTGTCATATTTGAAAACCGAGATCACGCAGATAGAGAAAATCGTGTCGATTACCGTGTTAAATCAACTGAAAAACTATTGTGATTTTAACCCCGTAAGACTCGTACAAACTGTTAATCTATTTATTACATTATTCAAATAGATTTTTAATCACTATAATTTAACATCACTCAATATACATACATATGTATATCTAACTAAAATGATTTATATATACATATACGTAATTTTTTATTCATAAATAATATATATAAATAATTTATATATTGATAACAATTATCTGATTGCAATCTCTTTTTATTGTAATTATTATACACGTGTTCTTATACTATTAAAGCGTGTTTAATATAATTTTTATATGTGAATATATTCTCAACTATTGCTTATTCGTAGGTATATCAAAATTTATATAAAACAATTATCTTTTATTATAGTAATCAATTTAAACACATCTGCCACTTCCGTTAATATTTTTTTATTGACGTACTTTACAATTAATTATAATAGGAATTGATATTCGAGCATCAATAAGTTCCCATTTGACCTCGACTTAATGTCTTTATTACTTTTCGAATTCTTATCAATATCTTACATCTTTATTAAAATTACATAGTAAAGTAAATAATATCTATAAGAAAATAATATATGTATGTGTAGCATGCGGTATAGAAAACTATAGCAAGGACATTGAAATTCTTTATAAAGTAACAATCCATACTCGTAAAATAGTATGCCAGCGGGAAATTCGAAATTCAGCTCACGTAGTAAAATGAAGTAATGGATTATATTGCACCACTACTATAACTAGTTTCTTTATTATTAGTTTTAGGGCGTGTGCGAGTTTGAATAAATTGAGATAAAGTAAATTTCAATTTCCTAGGGATTTTTTGCACTGCACTTATGGAAATATTTATTTATTTATTTATTGCACTTATTTATTATTTTTGATTAAAAATTTTCAAATTTATTTATTTATTTATTAAACATCTTATTCAATTTTCACAATGTTAACACCTAATTTACATAATTTTTATCTAATTTACTCCACTCGAAATACTGGTAAATACCAACATCCGCTGCCATACCGACATAATTTACTATTTCCCTTATTTTACCATCAATTAACTCGAAATTAAAAAAAAATAAGAACATTATTGTAATAATTTTGACGTTGGTTAAAAAAAACTTTTTTAAATTTCTGTAAAAAAAATTGTCATCAACAATTGGTCTTTAAATACCAAGTGAATGAAGTGGAAACGTTATTTCAATTGCACAACATATTGAAAACGAGATTCGATCAAAAATAATTTCACAATAATGATTTTAATCTTCTGTTATCGTCAGTTTTGGCAACTTCATATCTACCATATCCAATCTAGTTCTAATCATTTTCCCTGCAAATTGCTTGTTTTGTTCTTCGTTAATGGAATTACGTAGGAGACTTTTGATTTCCATTCCAATAGAATTTAATTCAGCTGATGACAAAGTTTCAGCGGTTGAAATTTCAGTCTTCGGTTTCTCTGGGAGTAACAGGTCTCATCTAACGTTGTCATACAAAAGGTTGACATTATTAAATATAATCTACCTTAGACTTTTTGTCAAAAGAGCTTTATTTGTGTTATTTACAGATACAATTACATTGCGTTTATCACAAGTTAATATTAAAATAAATGTTATGTATTACTATGTTCAGACACATCTTAATTTCGCAAAAATCTTTTTCTCATCTTTGTTTCATCGAAATTAAGTTGTTTTTTTCCATACAAAATTCGGTTTTGAGATTAGAACGAAATTAAGGAAAATGGCCTTTATTTCGTTGAAACGAAAGCTGAAATTAAGGGATATTTCAAATGCAACTATGTTTAAGCAAAATATAAAGTTGAGATAACGAAAAAGTGACATCTTTTTTTTAAAAAATGTCAATGACAGTTGACTTTTATAAATTTGAATATAGAGAAAAAACTGAAACTTTTATATCCATCAAAGCTTATAAAACAACTGAATGCCATCTTTTAGAGTTATAATAATCAACTTTTAAAATTTCCCAGGTACAAATAGAGTCTGTAATTTTTAATATTCAATTTGTAAACAAAAAACATATGATTCCCTAAATTTGGGGCAGTAAGAACACTTTCGAAATTAATTTCATTTTTACGGCTGTCTGAACATAGTATATGACGCAATCTTTTTTATTGCAATAAATGACAATTACAAACACAAAAACTTTTACTTGTGAGTATTATTTCTTTAAGAATTTATTTATGAGTGTACCCTGTGTTGGCAGCTGGTACCACTACTCAACTTGCACTTTAACAACCTGGCAGCACTAACACGTGCAGTCAAACTTTGTTTACATTTTTAAAAATCGCACTTGGACTAAATTTATTCTAAATACAGAAATTTGTATAGTTATTGTTATTACTGATGAAAAAATGTCCATTGATTATAGTAATTTGTGTTCTTTGATTATTAATCAATGCTTTGGAGAAGTGGTACAAAAAGTTGCGGATTGTTTGTTTGGGGCAGTCAGTCGCACACTTATTCAAATAATCAAAGCAACAAATTTAACACGAAGAGAGGTATTTTTTATTTAACGAAACTAATTTATTATTTAATTAACCAAATTAACTATATTTCAGGTGTCTAATGCTTTAGCAGTGCTAATAAAATTTAACATTGCGTCATTCAATGCCAGCAATTTGTATCCACATCTGCCAGAATATTCACTCAAGAGACAGGAGATATTATTCATTTTGCGTTATGCGCGGTAAATATTCGAATATATATTATATATACGTTTTTATTGCAAATTTAAACATTTATAATTTTAGTTATGCGCATCTTGCACATACAAAATATGGTAACATAGGCGCTGCTATTGCGGAAGAGATACTCCACGCTGGCTCAGAGACGGCAACAAATATTTTAATTAAATGTGTCACCGCACCCGACAATAAGGACAAAATAGAAACATATCGAGATGTCCTACTGACTATGATAAAAGATAATTACTTAATTAAAATGCCAATGCTAAAAGAACCCACAAACTCAGCGGATGTTGTGCCACAGCTGCATGTAGAAGTTTATGATTTATATAATCCGCCAGTTATTGATTTAATTTCTATAGCGAAAATTCAAGCTGGTAGCGTGAAACCACAAGAGGCTAAAGATTATGGTAAATAAATATTAGAGTTTCTTTTCTAAATACAAAAAGCAAATGTATTTTTTTTAAATCTTTTTGTAGGCATTTACTGGAGAATTAACTTTAATCGTTTTCATCAGGATTTTAGAGATAATGTAATGGTTGCAGCTTTGGAACGTAAGTTGGGCACTAGTGCTGGCGAATGCTTTCAATTTATATTGAAACAAATGTACGAACGAACAGATCCTTGGCAAAAAGTAAGCCAAATTTATTACGCTTATCAATAATAAAAACAGTTTTCAATAAATACCTACCACTTAGCAATCAATGTCTAATCCCTTCACTTTTGTGGAAATCAAACAAGCTGTCGAAAAGAAATCTAACAACCTCGACTTAATAAAAAATTTGGATAGTTATGTTACACTAATAGGTAAGAGCATAATAGAATACTTTTGTATCTTTTTTATTCATTTTAATTTGGGCATTGCAGCTGACGATTCTCTAGGATTTTTACGTAGAGTTGGTAATATGGGCGGAGGACAATATGTGGTAGATATGTCATGTGCTTTTGAAGAACTTTCATTAGTTTGCATAGAGCATATAATAACAGAGCGTTTCGGTTCGAAAGCATCACGTATATTTCGTGTAGTGCGTATAAAAAAGCATATTGAGCAGGAAGATTTGCAAAAAGAAGCTATGATACCAGCAAAAGAAGCTAAACTGTTATCGTATAGTTTGTTTCAAGAACAATTTCTACAAATCAAAACCATACGCAAGGCTGGTGGTGGTGGCAGTGGACCCGCTAAATCATTCTACTTATTTCAATTGAAGCACATGCAGGTATAAGGCATTTCTTTTATTTATTTATATTAATTATTGCAAAAAATAAAACAAAATTATTATGCTATAAAATAATAATATAATATGTGTGTTTAGTATGTATATAATTTTTTTGCCATCTTGTAGATTGCTAAGATGCTTTTGGATATATGTTACAAAGCTTTGTACAATAACATAACTCGTTCCAATTACGAAAAATCTGAAAATAAACGACTAATCGACAAATCCCAGAAATTGGATAGCATTATTGGCACAATGAAAGACCGTGGAGAAACAGAGGAGTATATAGCTGAGGTTTGTGTTTAAACTGTTATTACTTTTATAAAGATAATACAGACTCAATTATTATTGTTTATAGATTTTGGAAACGCTGACACCACCAGAAAGACAAATTCTCGACAGTGTAAAACACCATATAAAGACTTTATCTAAAGCTGAATTAGAACTAGATGAGACTATATTTTTGTTACAAATGTATTTGTATCATTCGACGCAGTCGCCAAGTAGCAGTAGTGAGAAAAAAAAATAATTAAATTATTTAAAAAATGTTGACTTAAAATAAAATATTTTTTATTAAAAATAATTTTTTTTTATTAAATAAAAATGTTTTTTTTTTAATAAAAAAATTTTAATTTATTAAATAAAAATGTTTCCTTTATTATAAAAATTTTATTATTTATAAAATAAAATATTTATTTTCATAAATATTATAAGATTTTGTGAATGTTTAGTGAGTAAAAATTTGACTATATACACATGAATATTTTTAAGTTAATAACATTAACTATTTATATAATAGCATAACAAAAAAGACTAAACGCCTTTCTTATATAGTTTGTAAACAGTAACAATTATTTATGACCTATACTAAAATTAAATAAACTAATGTAAAAAACTTAACAATTTTACATTATAAACATTTTAACTTTAGGAAAAAAACTGAAAAAATTAAATTTTACAATGGCATTGAAGATGATTTCAAAAACAAAAACAAAAAAATTACTTATCTTTAGTATGAGTGCGTATGTGCAGTTTTCAATATATATGCTTAAAACATATATATGTTATATGTATTATATAAATAAATTTTCAGCCGTTTTTATACTATTTAAATTACATAATAAGACCATTGTAATGTTGATACATTTGATCCCAGAATAGCTGTCTTTCTGTTTCTGGATTTTTTTTCATATCCATTGCCGTTGATATGTCGAGATAGTTAAGATTGTCAATCATATCTTTTGTGTCAATTGGCGACCAAGCTGTTGTAATCATGGTATCCGCATTATCATCCAATGTTGGCGTACTAAATATTGAAAGTAATTAAAATTTTTTAAATATAATATAATGATATATAAGAATACGTTATATATAAATATATATTAATGATGTAGGATAATATGTTATAATAATATATGCTATAATTTGTATAATTATTTTACCCAAATTTCGCAAAATTTGTCCACATGCGCACCATACGATTTTTAACTAACACTTCTTTTGACCTGGGATCTAAACTTAAGTTGAAGAAACCAAATTTGAAGAGATATCCCATTTCATCACCATGACACACTCCAGGTCTTGAAATGCCTAACATACGCTTGTATAAACCCAATGCACCATCGAATGAGAAACGGTACATATAAACCGGTGCATTGCTATATCGGGCATGAAACCGTGCAGTTTTCCGAATACCTTGCAAGAACATCAGATCGGTCAGTAACTGTAATAAATAAACATATAAGTGTGAACTTAACTAAAACGTTAAAATAATAGTTTATTTTACCGCTATCAATTCTTCTACTGATTCAATACCAACAGATTTAGAACCCAAATAAAATTGACGTATTTCGCGGGTTACATAATCAATATCGTCCGTAACATTGAGGTCACGCGGTATCATACGCGCGAAATCGTTCTCAATAATTTGTAATAATTGAGGATTCTTACGCAAACCTATGAAAAAAGTAATATATATGGCTTTTAATCAAGAATCCATTTATATATATATATATATTTTTTTTTTAAATATATATATCAATTAATAAATTAAAAACATCTATAATAATATCCTTTGGTTGTGTCCAAAATATTTTTTAATTTTGGATCACTTTTGGACTGAAATATGTTATTCGTATCGATATAAAAAACCAATATATATATTAACTCTATGTTATCAATACCTATTTAAGGCAGAAATTGAATTATATATGGTACAAAGCCAATAAATTAACTTACGTCTTATAAACAACATTGCTTCATGTGTATTATATCCGGTTATATATGGCACTTCAGTATTGAATTTTTGCTCCCTATACATATCCAATGGATGTTCAGTAATAAATGGATCTTCATAATAAATGCCCCTATCACCTGGTTTGTTCCAGTAACCTTCAACTATAGGCACAAATGGTAAACCAACATTATTTCGAAAATCCTCTTCCGTCAATGTGGTGGGCGCTGCCTCGACTAATTTCATAGCTGGAACGCGACGTAAAAACTCTAAAATCTCTATTGTATCATTAGCGCCGACATAACCTAAATTTGCCGCCAAACGAAAAGCACGCTCTGTTGAGCTTTCTGTGAGTGACCAGGGATTAAGTACGGAACCACTTTGTGATATAGCACGATGAAATAAACCTTTTCCTAGTGGTGAAAGTAACAAAAGTTGTACGGAAGAAGCGCCAGCAGATTCACCGAAAATAGTCACTTCATTAGGGTTACCACCAAATGATGCAATATTATCACGCACCCATTTTAAGGCAAGTACTTGATCCTAATAATAGAAATATGTTTAATGAAATAAACATTAAAAAAAAAGTTTAATGAAAAAATTAACAAACCTTTAAACCTTGATTCCCAGGTGCATCTGGACCAGCAGTTAAAAATCCTAATGGACCTAATCTATAATTAAGTGTTACCAGTACTATATCTTCTGAGACTAAATAATCTGGACCATAGAGAAAAGTATTTCCGGAACCAAAAGAATAACCGCCGCCATGCAACCAAACCATTACTGGTAATTGTGGATTACTAGAAATATACAATATAACAATATTTCAATGCCATGCCATATAGAGAGCATACAATTTGGTGTTACTTACTCTCCACCTTTAGGCACTCTTTTTGTAAATACATTAAGAAACAAGCAGTCTTCGTCACCCTTAAAAGTATCCAAAATCATATTTTTGTGCGGACAGCTATGTCCTTCACGTGTCGCATCACGTATACCAAGCCAAGGTCTTTCAGGTTCTGCAGCACGAAATCTATAAACATTGAAAAGTCAAGCAACGATATATTATTAAATATTGTGCTTAAAGATGTCATTTCTCACCTTCTGGTACCTACTGGTGCTTGCCCGTAACGTATGCCTTTGAAGCTGTAATAACCGCCACGTTCACCTGATCTATATTTCTGATATCGTCCACGTATTTTTCCATGAAATGTGTTCACCACCACTTTTGTGTCTTGCTACGAAGATAAAATAAATCATTTTAATTTAATTGTAATAAATAAAAAAGTTATTTTATATTAATTATTTAATTATTAATTAATTATTTTTGCTATTATATTATAGTGATTTTAATTAATATAAATATTATTTTTTTATGTAAAACTTAAAAATTAATTATATGAATAAAGTATATTGTATGAAGACTATAATTAATTTGATTAATATATTAATTTAATAAAACTTGTTGTTGAATATAATTGTATTATTTGTTTAATAAAACTATTTTTTAAGATTTAAATGTGTATATTATTTATAAAAATATACAGTAGTTTTATTAGTAAAGAGACGTCTTTGTAACAGTCTTTTTTCATTGTAAATTTCAAAAGTTGGAAGTCGCCATATACATATGGCAAATAATGTATATATATATATATACCCTTACTTAATATGGTTGTTAAGATTTATATTATAACATAATGATTTCTTGGTTTCTTGTTAATTTAAAATAGTCTTGTTCCTCACAATCCAGCGGTGGAAACGTTTATCAAAGTTTTTGTAACAATTATATGTATGGGACGGAATTATCTTTAGTATGTCGATTGAAACCTGATGGATGAAACTTGTGCAATGGTATCGAAACGTTATCCTTCTATCGTCAGTTTTAATTAAGGGAATGGCCAAAAATGGCTCACAACCAAATTAGAGGAAAATGTGGATGATAAGAATAATGCATTAGATAGGTTGGAGTGCCGGTCTTGTTTCAAAAAGCCCACTTAAGCTCAAATAATAGCCCATTGTGGTAGCACAGAAATAGCATAGTACATACATAGATTTAAATCGGTATTTAGGCAATGAAGAAAAATATGACGAGCTGACAATTCTATAAACTTGGCCAGGTCCCTAACATTACAGGATGACAGCTCAGTCAGGTCGGTGAGAAAAGGAGATTCGTAGGAGATTTTTAATCTTATTTTAGCTAAAGAAGCGCACTGACGAAAAGCATTATGTGTTTTAATGAATTCGTGTATCTCCTGACCCATATATGTTAGCTGTACAACTATCAGATAATATTCCGCGTCCACAGATTAACTTTCTTGGACGAATTCAGTGTAAACAATCCTCTTTGAATAGAAGAAAAATGTTAGCATTGTATTGATATCGCTCTTTTAAAAAAGTAATCTTCTTTCCTTTAGTGACTTTCCACAGATCAAAATTAATAGGTCTTAATTCTTGACACATGCAGTCCAAAAATTATATGGAGACAATTGAATCAATAGATGTTGCTCAACATCATTGTTGATGAGTACTTGGCGGTACTCAAAACAGCTATTGATCGGCCCAAGAATTCAATTGATATGTAAAGTTTTTTCGGTGTGACTTTAAACTTTGATTACTTCATCGCGGATTTAAAAAAAATTAACATTTTATCTCAGTCTTTATCTTAATTTATGCATTTATATTAACATAGTTGCATGTCTTTCGAAATTTCTGTTCTTACCATTGGAAGTAATTCGGCGCTGTCGGGTTTATACATCAGTTCACACAGTTCAAATGCTAAATAACTGCATTCTATTATGAGCTAACCGAAACAGTTTTTCACATTGCAGTGTAAATGTTTCTAAATTATTAGATAAAAATCTTGTTACTCAACACGTACATTCTATTTAAGCAGAGTAGTTAAAAAAAAAGTTTGGTTTCGACATAACGCAATTCTCCATGACCCCATTACATGGTATTACATAGCATAACCCGCCAAATATTCTAACAAAAAAGTGAGTAATTCTCTAACTTAAATTCACGTTATTGATATTGTATTATTCATAAGCATTGAGTATTTGCGACAACTTTTGGAGGAGGGTTCCTAGATGCACCTACATTTATTATAATATTTAACATTTTGTTTCTATTAGTTTTTATAGACGATGTCCTGGAGAGCATATGGGACGACACCGTTCATAGTTTAAAGAGTGACCATGGATTGTTTTCCTAAGGGATATGGCAATGTCTAGCTAGAATTGTGACAAGTGGTAAATGTGCTAGAAAATATAATTATATTTTTCTTCTTCTTTATTATAAGATTAAATCCGGTTTTGTTACAACAATTGAATTGGATATATTTTTGAAAAATTCATTTCCTGGAAGTTGAAGCATGCTATAGAACTCGTTCTTTTCTTCTTTTGGCTTACAGATGTCAGGCGTATTTATACTCAAAAAATGGGTTCTGGTTCTATTGTTAAATGCTAAAGTGACTTATAGTAATCTGTCGTTTATATAGTTTGTTGATTTTATTTTGTCTCTATATTTGTCGTGAATGAGTATTCCTACACCTGACGAAGCACTTTTTTCTTAGTTTTTGCCAGAATACATCATTGACTTTTCCCTTTCTTTTTGTTTCGGACAAGGCGCAGATATCGATGTTAGGTCTGACCATCTCGATAAGGAGTTCTTGATCTTTATTTGACAGTGAAGTTATGTTCCAATAGGCCATGTGTTTTTTATGTTTCCAGGATCGTTTGTCATTATTCATTACCGGGCCGTCATCAGTGTTGTTATTTTTATCCAATAGATCTTTTTATTCAATGGATAATATTCTGCGTTCAACGCGTGACCATCTGAGATGCATAGTGCGCTCGGGGTTTCTAAAGTTCTTAGAACCCTAATTTAAGATAACTAATTTTGAATAGCTTTTTGGCATTTAAAAATTTGCAACTTCAAATGAAGTTGTTTTATGAATTACAAATTGTTCATGGGAGTTTGATGACTTCAAAGCAAACTTAATAGATTAAATTAACAACCGTTTGTTTGACTAAACAATTAAATAACGAATATATTAAAATATTTCTGCGTCATTATTATGACTTGTTTCACTCTTTTTAACTTTAAGCTTATTAGACTATATTGATTTTCCAATATTTTCTTATTCTTATCTTGAACTTAATATATAGAGTTTATGTGGAGTTTCTATAGAGTTATAGAGTTTCTCTATGTTATAGAAAATTTTAGTTGAGTTCTTAGTTATATGAAATTACTTCTGTATATACAGACGTTTAATAAGACGAACAATTTCCATTATATCATCAAGAATTATTAGTGATCTACAATGTACAATAAGTCGCATTTAATAAAATGGATAGTGTTTTCCACGTCTTCGAAATACTACAACGTTACTATAGCCTTTAGGTGGGGAATTCCGTATGGCCCCGTATGTCGATTCTGGTTCTTCCGTATATTTCATGTAAGCGAATAAAATTTTTATCTAGAAAAAGGGATTGAAATACAAATATCGCATTTGATATCTACTGCAATGAAATTCCACAAGCAACTTTTAAAAGATCATTGGATCTGCAAAGTCTTTTCTTGTGATACTTAGTCTGGGAGTATAATAGGCTCGAACTTACTTACAAAATACGTATATTTGATACAAATTGTCAATTCTTATTGTTAGTGATGTGCTATGTTAGATATGGATATGAAAGATATGTGGTTTGAAACAGAACCATCACAGGTACTTCATAACATATACTATTTGATTTTGTTGTCCGAAAAATATTCTAAATGTGTCATTTCACATTTTGTTGATATGAAACAGTCACTGAGATGTTGCGATTTATCACCACTGGGTTTTTTTTTGTAGGGTTATCCATAGAATCATTTTTCTATAGATAATACTCAAACTACCGAATGCTTAAAACTTAATATTCGTCACGTTAAGGCAGAGTTATTTGTAACAGTATGCCGTCAAGTGATAGAAAAATATCTCTAAAGGATTTAGTACTGAAAGATATCTGGAGAACATTTGAATGATGTATTTTATATCTAATGGCAAAATCTAAACAATACATTGAAGTAAAAACTTGATTGAAATCGCAATTACAACGTTTATTTTCGTAATCAGAAAATATATATAATAAATTTTTTATATTCAAATAAACTATTAAAATGAAATTATACACTTCTTTCAACATAATTATATTTTTTTTGTTTTGTTAAGCAATTATAGTGAACGCTAAAACTATTTCATTTACTTATCCAATTTTTTTAGTAAATAATTTGCTTATTAAGTAGGAACACCCACACAAAATAATTAATAAAATTAACCAATTTTGTTGATATTGAAACTAGACTGCCACATTTAAATAAATTTATTAATTTTAATTACAAATAATTAATTAAAATAGAAAAACTGTTTCTAGGCTAATCCGAAACTCAACTGCCGTACAAAAATAAATTTTTTTATTTTAATTAGAGAACTTTCGAAAAATTAAAGAGAGGTTATAAATAATTAATTAAAATAGAAAAACTGTTTCTAGATTAGTCCGAATCTCAACTGTCGTATAAAAATAAATTTATTAATATTAATTAGAGAGGGTTCGAAAAGCAGTAAACCACAATAACACAAATTCTTTTTAAGTTATTTTAATTATTTGAATTTTTGTAGTATTGCCAAATACCCCTCATCAATGGTCTTGTAATTTTTTCTTGTATTTATTAAATCGATAATGATTTTTTGAGACCAAGCGTTGAACTCGTTCTCTGTCAAATTTCGAAGCTCAGAGTCAGCGTTCATTAGAAAACTAATTCAAAGTCATACTTGACTTGGAGTTTTGTTAATTTGCTGTGAAAGTTCATTAACAAATTCACTTGCTGTATTATATTAAAATGTGATCATAAACCAGGTGTAAGATGATCCCTGGTGGATTCACTTAGGCCTATTGGCCCATTGTGTTACCGTATATGTAGGAAAAACTCAGGGTTCAAAATCACTATTTAGTGTCAGGTCTTGTAATTGTTTAAGTTCCTCAAGAAAGGGGCTCCTAAAGTGTTGAGTCGCCGCCATGCATGAGCTGGGCAAAAATATAGTAGATGAGAGGCATTGTCTTCCCCACAGCTGCGACAGATTTGATTAAAAGGGAGACCTGTAAGTAAACTAGCATGGTTCCCAAGTTTACAGTGATCTGTAAGTAAACCTACCAAAAGACCGATATCTCTACGGGGATACCTAAATTAATTATTAATTATTAATTATTAATTAATAATTTTAATTCTAAATCTATATCCAAATAAATCGATTGACTATAGCAATATTTTTTCTAGCTAACTTCTAATACGAAAAAATGAGTTCGGTGGAATAGTGTATAATTAGCCACTTAAGTAAATACCACAAATGATATACTTTGAATGTGCAACTATTTATGCAATTAAACCAAAAAAAAAAATTGAAAAAAATAAATAAATAAATGAAAACAAATCTCAAATCTGTGCAAAGTCATTGACACCAATCGCGGCCTTTGCCGGAGTACAGGTGCAGCGTGAAACGAGCAGATTTGTTTTGTATCTTTTACTATTGTGAAGTGACAAGACTCAAGCGCGTTTTGTTGACCGATTTCGGTGCACATGGTCAATTGCAACAATTCAATTTCGTTGCAGTTATGCAACACATCACAGCTGCATATATTTATATTTTGATGTCTCCTCTGAGCAGCGGCCCAAGCTCAACTTTAAGTAAATATCACGCATACGGGGGCTGCACTGTAGGTAAGTACAGGTATCTCTTGTAAATTTTTTCTTATTTTTTTTCTTATTTTTGTGAGACTTGTTCGTTGACCGTTGTAAGTCTGGTTACAAGTTTGTAATCGCTTTTCATCAGTTTGACTTTACAACGATTTTGTATAAGTCACGCCAAGTATCTCAACTTAATCTGGTTTTCATTTTTAGCGCCTAACTGCATTTTAACATTTACACGGCTTTTATTTGAATAACTTTGGCAATGTTGGCAAATAAAAATTGGTTTTTATCTTTTCTTTAGTCTAGTTTTTACGGTTACTTGTTTTATGATTGTTGAATATTACAAATTATTTTTGAAGGACAAGCATTTAGAATGGAAAAAAAAATTGTAATTAGATTGTATTAGCTTAAGAGACTTCTTGAGATCACTTATAGTCATACTCATTCATATACAATAGCTTTGAATAAATAAATATTAATTAACAAACACTTCACCTCACACCATTTACTTGAAAAGCTAATAAAAACTAGACTATAAAATGACTTAGTAGATTTTAATAGTTGTCTACTTACTCTTAGTGTTCTCACGACCTCTTGCACCACCCGCATTGCACGCGACGGCAATAGTTGCACTAATGAATTTGGATGAGACGTCAAGGTTTTCCATGCTGTGGTTTCCTATAAATTATGTGAGAAAATTATAAATTATTTCAAGTAAGAAAATCTTTATTTTAATTGCATTGATAAATGAGTTTCGTTTTGAAATAGAGTAGTGGCTGATTATGGCAACACTAACCAATACAACAAACAACATTGCCATCATACAAGATTGTACTTACGCGTTTAACATAAAATTATAATCAAATAGAGAGACAAGTTGCCAATTGCATTACTACCATATATCTGGCAACCTTCTAAATCAATCATGGCTTGCTGTAATTAACCTTTATCTATCCGAAATAGAAGACACTTCTTTTAGTAATGTGGCTAGTATAGTTCTTGTGATTATAAACGAAACAAAAACTGACCACATGGTAATGTCCCCAAACAACTAAAGATTATACTTACGCCTTTAACATAAAATTATAGTAAAATAAAGAGACAAGTAGCCAATTTCATTACTATATCTGGCAACCTTCTAAATCAATCATGGCTTGCTGTAATTAACCTTTATCTATCCGAAATAGAAGATACTTCTTTTAGTAATGTGGTTAGTAAAGTTCTTGTGATTATAAACGAAACAAAAACTAACCGCATGGTAATGTCCCCAAACAGCTAGAGATTATGCTTACACCTTTAACATAAAATTATAGTAAAATAAAGAGACAAGTAGCCAATTGCATTACTATATCTGGCAACCTTCTAAATCGATCATGGCTTGTTGCAATTAACCTTTATCTATCCGAAATAGAAGACACTTCTTTTAGTAATGTGGCCACATGGTAATGTCCCCAAGAAGCTAGAGGCGATAACCATGAAATATAAATATGATAAAGCACTGCTTCGAAAGAACAAATAATTTAAACTATGTATTACATTGTGACCGAAAAGCTTCCGGAAATTTTAAATAAAACGCAAAATTCTTAATCTTCATCAATATTTATTTTATCTCCTTCAAAATATGCTCCATTAGAAGCGATACACAAATGCCAACGTTTCTTCCAATCATCAAAAAATTTTTTATAGGCGCTTTCCGGTATGGCTTTGAGTTCCCTCTGCGAATTCTGTTTTACGTCTTCTATGGATTCAAAACGCGTTCCTCTGAGTGGTAATTTGAGGTTGGGAAACAGGAAAAAGTCACACGGTGCAAGATCAGGTGAATACGGTGGCTGTTCGATGGTATTTATTGAATGTTTGGCCTTAAAATCGTTGATAATGTTGAACAAATTGAGGTGAATCGGAACAAGCCGGGCGTTGACACGTCGCATACACAAATTGTCCACCAAAATCAAACGAGCCATCTCACGACCGATGCCTAGCTCTCGTGCTATCTCTCTAACACTCACATGAGGATTTTTGAACACGATTTCCTTTGCCTTTTCAATGTTTTCGTCGGTGGTAGAGGTCGAAGGTCGTCCAGAACGCGGCATGTCTTCGACGGTCGTACGACAGTCCTGAAAGGCTTTGTACCACTCATAAACTTGAGTTTTCGATAAAACTGATTCCCCATAAGCCTTTTGTAGCATTCGCAACGATTCTGCACACGAAATTTCGTTCGAAAAACAAAATTTGATGCAAACTCTTTGTTCAATATTTTTTTCCATTGTTTTTTTCGCAACGCACTACTGAGGTGAACTGGTTTCAACAGCTGCCGTAAACGAACTGTCCGACAGATCGCGCTCATTTTTGGCATAGTAATTAAGGACAGTGCTGCCAAACTACATAAACTTAAAATATCGAAAAATATACAGCGCGCGAATTTTAAATGAGAATTTCCGAAAGCTTTTCGGTCACAATGTATATATGTATACGTCAGTCATAATTATAGCTCACAACAGGTCAAAAATATTGGAAACCATTAAGCAGTATATTTATTATTATTAAAAGTTTGACGTGAAATCCCCATCACCCGGTACTACCGCCAGAAGAGTCCTATGGTACTAATTTCACTATTCATTACACAAAGCCCTCTAAAGCTTTGTGAACAAAGTCCAGTATAAAATCTAGAAAAGAGCTCTTAATCTGTTCTGGTGACATAAATTCCATATGAAACAAGTCTCATCTGTTCGTGATTAAAGCTAAACAGTCACAAAGAATATGCATAATTGTTTCCTCATCTTTGAGGCATAATCTGCATTCCGAATCAGCAGATAATCGTAGTTTATGAAGGTGATATTTTAGACCACAATGACCTGTAATGAAACCCTTTATCAACCTTAAATTACATTTTGAGAATTGTTTTTGTGGGAGTACTATATATTAGAAAGCGGTAAAGAACAAATGGCCGATTTATTTCTCTTAGACATAGGGAACGTAAAAGACGTTAACGGCTAAAGGCTGCATAAGTTATTATTTATAACAATATAAACACAACACAAGTTCTATCCGATCACCAAATACTTCACACCAAAAGAAATGCAATGTAATTATTAAATTTTTGTGCCAGTTGATAATAGATTTTCACTATGGTTCTTTATTTCTGCTATGTCAAAAAATTAAAATTGAATTGGTTCTTACGTTCCCCCCTATTTCAACTTTAGCACGAATAATCGAATGCATTGTTTTTCATAAGGTAAACCTGTTGACTGATTTCTTATAACACAAATGATACAGGCTTAATGCAGCTGATGACTGAAGAGAATATTGCGAAATATACCGAATTGTAAAGCTTTACACGGATACATTCATTTCTAACAATGAATTTGACTCAAGTGAAGAAAAAGTTCTTGACAGCTAAAATTACAAACAAAACTTTGAATCCAGTATAATGAAATTTGATTAATTTATTTGATTAATGAAATTTAATACAAAATTAAATATTATCCGCTCACAATTAAACTGTAAACAAACAAAAGCTTTCATTGAAGTTTTACAGAACTTCAAAAAGCTCTTTCACATGCATAAATCAATTTATGACAATGGAAACGAACATAGCTTAATTTGATTAATATAAACTGATTTAGCTGCAGTGGGAACATGTTATTGTTGTAATATTTGTTAGTGTGGTTTAGTAATGTCAAAAATTCCTCTTCTATTTAAGTTGCTTAACTGAACTTAAGTTCAGTTAAGTCCCATACACTTGGATATAAGTTTCTATGTTTTAAAATCAACCTGCACTTCATTTTTGGAAGATCTATATTATTTTAAAAGTAAGGTTTCTAGTTTTTCAATGAACTGATTAATTATTACTTCATCTATAACTTCTTAAACTAAAGAATTTTTCAGAAAAATACGAATAAATGATGTTAGTTCTTTAACTCCAAATTAAGACTAAAGCAATTTAACACAGCATAATAAATGATAGTTGAGAGATAGACCATTCAGAGCTCGCTCTTGTTCTCGCGAAGTAATAGGTAGTTAGCGTTTCTGCAGCACATTTCTAAAAGTACAGCGAAGGGCTACAGGGGTTAAGGTTTAATTAGTAAGCGTATTGCCTCACAAGTTAGCATATAAAAAAGTATTGTACTAGTGTGAATCCTAGAGAAAGTGATAGCAAAAATATTGAATCGGAAAATTGAATCGCTTACAGCATCTTATAGAAGTTAACCATTCTGGTTTAAAACAAAAAAAAAATAAAGGGACTACAACTTCAAACCAGACGCGTACCAAAACAAAATAATCACGGTCGCTTGGAGTTACTATTAGATAACGTCCAGTCTATTTGCTGTTTTTTCAATGTTGTTCCTTAGTGTGATCATTCATGATAAATAATGTGAAGTGAAAAACTGGTTGGTACCGGCTTGAACTGAACTAAAGCAACAACAAACAAAGTACAATACATACGGAGAAACTGAAAGTAACTCTCTTCATATTTTACAATACATTTTCATAATATATATAATATATATCTCAATAATTTATACACATATATACAATCCTTTTTTAAGTCTTGAGTTGGTTTTTTGTTTTTATATTTTATGTTCATAAAAAATTGGCCAGTGAGTGAAGTACACTCACTGAGTATTGTTTGAAAAGAGAGGACTTGCATAATTAAATGGAATATTGTGCAACCTTATAGATATTTTCACTTTCATTTGCATACAGGAAAAGTGTTGAAAGTTGTGATAATTATAGGTAAAAAAGTGGTACCTGTTATAGTTCGTCCCACAAATAGAAAAAACTTCCGACTTTAAACTAAACTCACAAATTCCAGTCGCATTTTCAGGGCAGTACGGAAAGCAAAGTCTATGCTTAATGGGCTCACGATAAAGTGGATAACATACCTGTGCTGCACGGACAATGCTTGAGGTTAAAATCGTATGGTCAAGTCGGGTAGAGTTATGCACCAGTGTTAAAGCGGCTGCATTATGGAGCGGCATTTCTGCTGCTTTTGCAAAATCAGTATTGTTTCTTATAGTTAGTGTAATTATTGGAGTTGCTGTTGTTGTTACTGGTGCTGTTGTTGCTGCCTTTGTTGTTGGTACTACTATTGTTGCTTCTGTGGTTGTATCTGTTGTCGTTTTTGATGTTGTGCCAATCAATTGAAGAGTCTGTGATGCAATCGCTTGTGAATCTGTAATGTTTATTGACGACTTTCGCTGAATTTTATCTTTTGAGTTATGCACATGAACTGCAAACGCAATGAGTGCAACGGATAACATCAGAGCAGCGGTAGCAGCGATACATTCAAACAGACGACGATAATTCATTTTGCTTGTGAATTGCAATTGCGTTTGGAGTTGCTCCAATTGCAGTTAAAATCACAACTTACAATGCGTTTTTTTATCACTGAGTGAAAGACGAGTTATACACTATGCAATAGTTGACAAGCGGTTTTGTTATTAGGCTTAATTGATAGGCGTGCAGTTCAATTGGTCAATGGGCATATGTTATGTAAATAACATAATAACAATATGACAATAACAAAAACAAGCAGTCAAATCATAATAAATAACATTAACAAATTTTCGCTTTGAATGCACAATTTCTTTATTGCAGTTCACTGAACCAGTGAACCACTGTAACCACAAATGCCGTTTTCAATTCAATCCGAACTGGGTAAATACAAAGGCGATATT